GGGGGGGGGGGGGGCAAAACAGCGACTTTGCCTCATAGTTATTCAAACCTACCCCTACAGAGCTCGGATTTATCTTTTCCGACACTATGATATCCGAGGTCAAAACGAAGGGCAAAATAAATGCAAGGCACAGTTCATGTAGCCAAAGATGGCGTGAAGCCAGCGACAACATGATCACGACAACCTAAGAATAAATTACCAAATCGACACACCTTTTCAAACGCTATAAATGGAGTACATGTACTGATCCATGTGCAAAAGCAATACGAAAAAAAAAACATGAGCCTTAGAGCTGATCGTACTTAATTATTGGCCGTTGATACAGCCCATGTTTTATAAACGGGTTAGGGCAAGTGTCATACTAAAAACAAGTAAGAAATCTCAAACCTGGTCAAACATGGTCAAACATGGCCAAACATGTTCGGCTCGTGGGACGGGTGTCATGGCCTGCAAACACTATGCAATTCCTATGGGCTAAGGTGATCTTCGGCTGCCAAACGTCGCTTTGCCGGCGCTTTAAGCCCTCTGAAGACCGACCCAGCGTTGAGGAGGAAATACCATGACTAGCCATGGCACTGGGGTGAAGTTTGCAGGCTCTTCATGCCTCTCAAATGCCGCTGGTGTCGATTTCGCTTGGACGCTCCCGACAGATTTGGGTTCATTTCACCCCCACTGACTAAAAGCATGGGCTCTATCTTTTCCGTTAATTATTTCTTGCCAGATATGAATCTGCCCTCGGGTGTCAGTTGAGCGTTCTCGAACACAGTGGCTACGTCCTCCAAGTTGCCCAGGAGCTGTAACAGAGGCGAGAGCAGGTCGAGCTTGGATTCGAGTCTGATGACACGACCACAAGACTCATCCCAGTCAAAGCGCGAAGATCCGCGCACTACCAGTCGCTGTTTCAACAGCTTCTTGGCGATAGTCGGGTTCAAAGGGGGGAATACGTAGCGCAGCGTCTTCTCTGTGATAGTTATGCTGATCGACGAGAGAGCAAGGAGGGAGTCGTCTTCAATCTGCTCCATCCGCTTGAGTTGCAGGTGCACGTCGTCGAAAACCATAGAGAACAGTCTCCAGTGTCGTAGCAGCGCATCCGGGCCAGTTGCATCACCGTCCGTAACATCCGATGCCATCGTAGCCTTCAGGAAGTCTAGCTGTGCGTCGGTCTGCTCTGGTGGCGAACTCGTGCTCCGTTTCTCGGACGAAGACGCCACTCCCGGCACCATCATGGGCGCCATGAATCCATATCGGAAGAGGCGGAAGTACTCCATCGCCACGACCCACGCGCTCTCGTTCGTCGGAGCACAGCGCAGGATGCTCTGTCGCCGCAACTCCAGAGCTTGGATTTCCTCTCGCAAGGCGTTGAGACTAGCGTCAAGATTTTCTGCGTACTGTCGTTGCCTCTGTCTGTACCTCGCCTGGTTGATCCGACACCGTTCGCGTCGTGTAGCAGCGGCCTTCACTGCTCGTCCGTCATTTGTTGGCGGAGTCACTGGTTCTTCCTCTTGCCTGTATAGCGTCCTTCCTGCTGTGAGCTTCGTCGACGTATCAGCGAGAGGATTCACGTCCGGAAGACGCTTGCGGCCGACTAAACTTGGGCTGGATTCGGTTGGGTACGTCTGTCTTGGCTTCGTGTAGCGCTGCACCTCGCGACTGTCATGCTCGTCCGTCAGACCGAGGCGGCTGTGAAGCGGTCCGCTGTTGTGCGGTACGGCACCGCGTCGATCACTCAGCAAGTAGCTATCGCGCGGGTACAAAAAGCTGCTGGACATGGAGCTGTGCTGGTATGTAGCCTCACTGGCTTGGGCTGTGCGAAGCAAATTGGGGAATGACCAGCGACATCCAGTGCAGCTCGTAGTCAGCAAAACTAAGATACTGTAGGCGGTGCGCTCGGTTGGTTGTTGCCGTCCACGATCACGTGCCGATCGTCAACAGGGATCGCGTGCTGAAATGCCCGGTTTCCGGCCAAAAGTGCCCAGTTGAACGGGGACGTGCAGGTCCAGGTCCTATCTGGAACACAGCAGCGGCGCGGTCAACAGGGATAACGTGAGCTCACGTTTCAGCTACATGCACGAGAAAACCCGAGGCGGGTACCCTACCGTATTGTACTGGGCCCCGGGTACGTCGATACCCAACTTTTCCGATTGAATTGGTTTTGTGTTGAGAATTAAGGAATCTCTGGTACATGTCGGTCAGGCTGGTTGCCTTTGACGAGGAGTTCAGATAGAAGTACGCAGCTTCGCCTTCAGGATGAAAATAATTCAGGAGCTTGCGGATCTCCGGATGGGGTACGCTATCGTTGATGACAGCTTGGGCTTAGCTCGCCATCTGTGATTGCCCTGCAAAGGTTGCAACTGAACAGCGTGATTGCGGTCGTAGCCTACGACTCGTAGGAATCCAGGGGCTTGGAAATCGTAAACTTCGGGTCACGCAAGAGATGTACAACATTACACGTGGATTTTTTCCACTGAAAACGTGGGCAAGAATGCAAATTGGTGCTCGCAACCGAATGCAGTAATAGGCATTGATACTAAAGAGCATACGAAGCACCCCACAAGTCTTTATGGACATGTTTTGCCGTCTTCTCTGCAGTAAAGGTGCAAAGCAGATCGAGAGAAAATTTTTGTGGACTCTTTGCCTCGGACCCTTGCAAGTAGAGGTAGACGACCGAACCAGACAAACACGGTAAGGGCTCAAACCCAAGCAAATATTGCCCCTAGGCAGTGCCTAGCAGACATAGCGAGTTTCTGCTAACATGAAGATTGACTCTTTGCATTTACGTACATGGTGCTTGAGGACTGTATCCGTTACGAATGCATCCCAACGAACTTGGATAATCGACGGCACATACCACAACTCCGACGGAAAAGTATTAGATTGCTTCTTGGGATATAATACCCTTTAAGCAACTGGCCTAGTGTACCCCACGGACCAGGGGATATTGCTGTGCTCATTGTCATCATTCGCACCGTGATATGTACATTTTGAAAATCGTGTTCGTCGACAGGAACAACGTGCACCAGCCCTGCTTGTACTTCGCGACGTGCATGTATCGCTGGATTGCAGGTGCATAGTGGTCAACTGTTTCGTGTCTGTCGGCTACAAGCGCAGCCAGGTGCATGGTTCACCCCAGTCTGCCACAGCGGATACAGTAAGCTGATCGATCGTCCTCTGGCTTCGTTCAACCACACGAACGTTGACCCCCTATACGCGCAAGTGTAAGCGCCAATTGCACGCGGTCATGAGTTCATGGAGCGTGGAGACGTGGAATTGCCGTGAAACTATGGATTACGATTCCTTATAAAGCTTTTCCTGAGTCTGCCTCTCTTCAACAGATAAGTTACCACTCTCGTCGGGGCTGCAGTGAGAAACTGGTCGTAGAAGCCGACGAGGTAGCCGAGCGGTCAATAAATCGCCCCTCGGGGGTGATCGCCGCCTTCTCAAAGACGCGCGCCATGTCCTCCAAGTTGCCCAGCAGCTTGAGCATCGCCGACATCATGTCGATCTTGGTCTCCAGTCTCACGACGCGGCCGCTGCGGTCGTCCCAGTCAAAACGGACGGATCCACACATGACCAGCCGCTCGTTCAACATCTTCTTGGCCAGCGACTCGCTGCCACCCTCCGCATCGGCCTTCGACAGGTGCGGGTAGATGTAGCGCAGCGAGTTCTCGGTAATGGTGAGACTGACCTTCGTAGTGGCCACCACGGAGCCACTGTCGCCATCTTGCTGCAGCCGCTTGAGCTGCACCTGCACGTCGCCGTGGTACAGGGACAGCAGTTTCCAGTGCTTGAGGATGGCGTCCGGGCCGCACACGGGGCCGTCCGTCACGTCCGGGGTCATGGTGGCTCGGAAGAAGTCCAGCTGGGCGTGGGCCTGCTTAAGGCGGCTCATGTCGTGGCTGTCGTTCGTGCCGCTAATGCACGAGGACGAGAACATGTCGGGCACCTTCATGGGCGCCATGTAGCCCTGGCGGAAGAGGCGGAAGTATTCGGTGGCTACCATCCACACGCTCTCGTTCGTGGGGGCGCAGCGCAGGATGGTCTGGCGCTTGGTTTCGAGCTTCTGGGTCTCCTCCTTTAGCTCCTGGATGCTGTTGTCCAGGTCCTCGGCGTGTTTGCGCTGTCGCTTCCTGTACCTGGCCTGGTTGATGCGGCAGCGCTCGCGACGTGAGGCCGACACGCGCATCTTGCGGCCCTCATCGGGGCTCTGCGTCTCTGTAGTGACCGCGTCTGCGAGCGACTGCAGAGGAGGGAGGCGCTTGTGTCCGATAACCGAGTGCTGCTGTTGGGGCTCGTCGAGCCGCCGGGCGGTAGTGAAGGTGCGGTAGCCGTCGTCGTGGCGGGTGAAAGGGGTCACGCGCTGCACGACGCCCCCGATCACGCTGTCGCTGAGCGCGTGGCTGTTGGGCGGAACCAGGAAGCTGCTAGCCATGGGTCCTGTGTATGCGTAGTATGATCCTGGGAGGTGGCTGTTGGCTGTTGCGCTCGGAGGGGAGAATTCTGGAATGAGTCTTCCCACCCCCGACACCCCCGACGGTTGCTGGCGCGTGGTCACTCGGGTTGTATGTAATTCATGCGGGCATCACCAATTACGTGCGAATGCGCCGGTGCAGTCAACCCGAGAAGCGTGCATCTGTAATACGGTCTGGGGCCTAAAAGTTCTGGATCAGAGCAGAGACGAGTAAAGGACGATAACAACCTCAGATTTGTACAACAGCAACCACACGGGAGGTGATACACCATTTCAAGGCCAAATTGAGAGAAGTCGTGCTTCAAATTGAAAACCGCCAAAAGCAAATTGAGAAAACCTGCATAAACGTATACTTTTATCATCTAATTACCTTCGAGATTAGATATGGTGTGCAAAACCATTGACTTGTCCACTCTATGCTGACCAAAAAAGTCCCTCCGGAAAGCTTTAGCCGGGGCAGCGCCCCTTTTCTTGAATTCTCTCATTTTGATTTTGGCGACTCTCAATTTGAACCGCGATTCCTCTCAATTTGGCCTTGAAATGGTGTATCAACAGCGCACCCCCCGCTACATGTAGCTGCAGCGCGGACGACGACAGGCGCACAGGTGTACAGACAACGACGGATAAATACGGCAACGCAAAACCCGGCACACATATGTTGTACTTTTTACAATAAGTAATTCAGATAGCCAATCAACTTCGATATTTACACTTGACATTTGTATTCCATATGGTTTTAAGTACTTTCTCTAAATTTGTGTGTACTTTATGCTCCGTTACGTGTATTTTATGTCATTGCCTTGTACAATCTCTATCGTTCCTGACAGAGAATTCTGACACATTTACTATGGAGGATGCCATTCAGTGGTGCCGGATTTATCCGTCGTTGTCTGTATTGCCAAACGTTGGTACGCTGCATGGAATGCTTCTTGGCATCGAAAGCTAGCTAGCTTATTGTTACTGGAATCCTAGAAGTGCTGCTACATACTGTCGGCTCAGCTCCATCCACGTGAACATGGACTGACAGTCATTATCGTTAGGTACACATACACACAGGAAATTTGTGACGGCAGGTTTGGTAGGTAGTTTGACTCGTGGCTTAGCACCATAGATCATCTTCGTACCATCGTGGATCAGCTTGTAGGACTAAGGTCATGGATCAGCTTGACTACAGTCATGGATCTGGTTGGCTATGATCATGGATCTGGTTGGCTATAGTCATGGATCTGGTTGGGTTTGATCATAGATCAGGGATCCGGTTGGGTTTGATCATGGATCTCATTGGTAGTGCCATGGATCACCGTGGCGGATCATGGATCTGAACCGGAATGGGTTGGGATGTCATGGATCCGCAATGCATTTGCCGCTAAGACTTATCAACATGTTGTTGCATTTTGCTAACCAATTGTAGCCGATGAGGCTCACATGGTTGGCGCAAGCAGAACCAATGACTTCTTGAGCTCTAACTACTACTACTACACTCGTATTGCAAGCATGTTTCTCCTCCTGCAAAAGGTCGACTACGATTCCTACCTGCGCTTTATTTTTTGGTTTCCCTTATGGCCATACCGTCAAAATTCCAACGGGGTTGGAGCGCAGGTGGTTGTCATACAGCCAGCGGATCGCTCGCGAGAAGATATCCGACCCCGGACGTTAGATCCAGAAAAAGCGTCGCCTGCCAATCTCGTCGCGGAGGATTGCGACGCGAAAAAACTCGACGCGAAACGCGGCGCGAAAAATCGCGACGAGGAAAACTGCGACGAGGACAACCCTGTCGCAAACGTGCCGGAATTAGGCCCGCCGACGCCGGATAACATGGATTTGGGGCGCGGGACCGCGCACGTCCTCTCGGTGACGATGCGCTCGGCTTCTGCGCGCGCAACGAACCCCAGAGATAGAGCTCCAGATGTCCTACAAGAGCTGGCTGCTCAGAACCCATCGAGCTTGGGCAAGACCCCTCCCAGAGCGGCTAAATGCGCAGAGTCATGGCCCGGGGCATTTTACGGGGCACGGCGCGCTAAACGAAGACGCGTCTTGCGTCGGATATGGTGGTGCGTTCAAGTTTGTGGGTGACATATGGGTCGCGACGGGAAACACGTTACGCGACGACACCAAGTCAAAGCGTCAGGGTTACGCGTTCGACAGCACCGCCGACTCGCGCAGGTGAACGCGCTAGAAGTCGACGAATATGTAGACGTCCCAGATCGAACGCGGGGCGACGTCGCGATGACGGACACGGCTGAAGTCAATTTGCCAATACGCTATCGCGACAGTCCCGGTTACCCCCACGGGCTTAAGCTCATGCCCGACGCAATGGTCGGTCGCGAGCTGCGAGACCATGAAGGCAACGCGGCGGGAAACTCTTCGCGGACCCGGTACGCAGAGATGCTGCACCACCGAGAGGAAGTCGTCGGGAAACCAGATGCCACGAAACGCGGTCAATGTCGCGCGACGGGCAGTCACGCCGAAGCGAGACGCGGGGCGATGGGCAGTGGCCTCGACGCGGCTAGGACGCAGGTGACCGGCATCGAGCCTGCTGCAACGAGCAACGCGTCGAGCCCGATCAGGAGGCCTGTTGAAGTGTCGAAATACGTGGAGGGTCCAACGTCAGTACAGCTCTCAGCGTGCGACGACGCGATAAACAGAAACCCACCTTGCGTCGAGGCTGATTGGGAATTCGAGGTTGCGAGGAACGTGTCGGACGCCACGATTGACTCGTCGCCCGACGGAACAGAGTCGACGCGCCGAGGGATATGCATCCTTCAGAACCGCCGACTCGCGCAGGTGAACGTGCTGGTAGTCGACCAAGCCGGGAACGACGCCGATCGGACCCAGAGCGACGTCGAGGCGATGATCAGGGCTAGAGTGAATTCGTCGATGTGGTATTGCTGGGATCGCGGCGGAATAGGATTTGCCCGCGGGTTAGAGCTCGTGCTCGACGCTGTGTCGCGAGGCGCCACGTTGGTGAGCCCGTACGCCGTATGTCTTGAGACAGGCCGCACGCCTTGCCAGTTTTCGGTCAAGGACGTTTCCAAGTTGAGGCTTGACCGCGCTATGATCAATGGGGCGACCCCGTCGAACGAGCCCGCCGACTGCCGCGACGAGATGCCGCTAGAAGTGAGCCGGGACACTAGCGCTGTGAAGAGCGACGGCATTGCGTACTCAAAGGTCAGGGACAAGCACATCATGACGGTTCGCGTCGTGGTGGGCTTGGTGCCCTCGTTTCGGCTCGCGCGCGACCGAGATCCGCGGTGTACGTCAAGGGCGATAATTGCCGTCGGAAAACTGCCGCACCAGTGCGCCGAGCCTAAGCGACGGACGCTACAGATCGGACCGCGAGCCCAGATGCAGTGCGTCAGGTTGTGCGCCAAAGCGCAGGACAGTCAGAACGAGTCGCGTCGCGAGACGAGTAGCTCGCTTCACCAACTGTATTTCGACGTCCGCACCTCCAAGCAAAACCCCGTTGAAGAGTTTCCGTCACACGCCGCGACGTGTTTGTCCGTGTCAACGAACGGACCGTTTGGCTCCACCGATACGTGTTTACCGGAGCACAGCCCGACACTCGCTCCGGACGAGGATGCTTCCGAAGGGGAGAAAACCTTGGAGCTGCATGCTGGCCGAGCTTCCCGACATGGATGCGCGCACCCCGAGTCCGACGTGACCTGGAGAGGCTATACTGACGAACTAGATGCCAACTGCGGAAAGTGGCGACGCGACTTCTCACGTCAGCGAATCGGCCGTTATCGTCTTGGGGCGATCTATTCGCACGACGATGAGGGGCGGCTGAACCGATCCCTGGTGGGTGAGCGCCTTTAGTGGCGCGGTGGAAGTTGGCAGGGTGGCCGCCGACAGGTGGATAGGTGGAAATCCTCGACTTTGGGTATGGCCAGAGCGAGGGGTTGGATGAGGGAAGTGTGGAGGACCAGCCTGTTGCTGAAGATGGGACGGCGGAGGGCCGTCTCATAAAAGATGTGAAGTAGTGGAGAGAAACGAAGGCAAAGAACAAGAACCACGTGTTGGAGTTACGGCTACAACGACTACGAGCAACGACAACGTGGTGCACTAGGACCCCCTCAATGGGGTCCATGTCAGAGAACGCGACGAGGGACGTCGCCGACGGCGACGCTTGGTCTGAGGCCGGCACGCTTGGGCGTCGCTGTCCGAGGCCTCGGACTTGAACCGCGCTGTGACTTGACGTGCTCGATCGGCAGCAGCAGCCGAATGCGACGCGACTGCGAGCCTTGGACGGCTGCGCTGTCCGAAGCGGTCGTGTCGGCCACTGTCAAAGGTCGCTGACTGTGCCGCCGAGACGAAGGCGAAGACGATGGAGTCGAGACCGAATTGGGAGGCCTGCACGCTTGACGCGTTGATCTCTCGGCTCCGCTGTACCGAGGTCGTCGGACACCCGCTGAAGCTGGCGGCGGACTAGACGCCGGACCTGGACGGAGCGTTGGACTTGGACGGTGCGTCGGAACCCGAGGCGTACCCGGGAATAACGAGGTATTAGCCTTAGGACCGAAAACGGGGGCAGCAGAACGCACGCTGGCGTCCGTACGCGACGTAGTGGAAGCGAGACAGGAGCAGCGGGAGCCGCCGCTCGGCTTGACTCCGAAGGCCACAGCGTTCATCTCCACCGCGACGGAAGCTTCAAGTCGACGGATCAGGTCGTAGGTGTCGATGTGCCCGTACGACGTGACGACACCGGCAAGACGTTC